ATGATGATGATAATAGTGAGGAGGAGGAGGGGCGTAATTATCATTATTCCTATTATTACGGTTACTGTGGTATCCCCTAGATCCGACATTCGATTCAACTCCTGTACTGGTTATTCAGCAATTCAGACAGTTATGTACAAAACTGTATACCTTTCTAATAAACAATGAGTACTATTTTAAACCCGCTAAGAGATCTCCGCGGTGAAACTTAAATTTAGATGAAATTTGAAGAAATAACTGTGTACCTCCTGACCAATCTTCAATTTTTTTGCCAATAAATATATCGCTCTTTGATCGGGATATCTATTCAAGTCGTGGTACTATCATTAATATATTTCTATAATATTTAGATACCTTTCATAAAGATAAGACATGTTTGCCGTTATATATCCATTTTATATTGTATGGAAATAACTATTTGGGTGGCAAATCGCAATTATGACTGTGATTATAATGATGTTAGATATAGGAGTTTTGTCGGGTTGCAGTCTAAAATATTAACATATGATTATTTCCAAAGCACAAAGAAACACCTCAAGGCCATTCTCTAAAACAAACGCACGTGGGCCAAAATGTTTAACTTTTTTTGGCAAAAATCAGTGCGGACGAACAATTTTGAAAAATACACAATAATTCAGAGAAATGGCTTATAATAAATTTTCTTTGAACAACATTTTTTAGCTTGTAATTATATTTCAAAACAGCAGATAACCATTTCAAAGAGAAAATCAGTGGCAATTTTGTAAAACAATTAAATAACAGCATGCGTTTTTGTCTCATACCTCTACTGTACATTTGTTTGTTGGCTCATTGGCCTCATGATTTACTAACGTCGCCCGATACCCCGACCTCCCTCTTAGCTCATAACTCTGAACCCGGCCCCTGGTCAGTGACATTACGTATTATTGTTTCCCCAATGGATACCCATACACATCATCAAAACATGTAGAAAACTGAAATACACGTAATAGTTTAATATTAAGAACATAAAAAATAAAATAGAATATGAGTTCTGTTTTTTTTAGTTCCTCTTTCTTGCCTTTGGTTTTATCAGCAAACCACCCCGTATCTAATGCTCTAATATAACAGGCAATATATTTTCAGCTGCAAAGACATCATATTGTGAGAAAATGAAAAAAAAATCAGAGAATTAAAGATTATACTGAAAAATTTAAATTGGTGAAAGGTAAAATCATGGACTCTCAATTTTATTAGAGCTATAACAGGAGTTCGAGACGAATCGAAACAGTGAAACCGAACAGGGAAACCTGGAAAAGGCAGCCCCATATTAATAAACGAAAAATTACAACCTAAATGTGATAAAGTTGGGGGCGTATAGGTGGTGGGATGAAAGGGGGGTCTTGGCTTGCTGGATTATTGGGGAGGAAAAGGTGTGATCCCACAAGAGACCCCATGCCCTGGGTGCAGAGGGCAGAGGGCGAGCTACCCTGCCCTGAGACTGCTCCTGTTCTCCTGTCTGCTTGGTCTCCGGTCTCTGTGACGATTCGTGTCATGGGCAGGTGCCTGCTTCTGAATTTTTGGGAGTCAGTTCTTCTCCTGCGGTAGAAGCTTTTGTTTTTGGAGGCATTTTTGGAAGAGGAGTGTTGTCAGAGTAAGGGGTTGTACAGGAGTTCACGAAAAATCGACCCTATTTGGATGGACTAAACAGAGTATTCAAAAGGTTTATATAAGGGGTAGTAGGACGGGAACGTGTGGAAGAGGTAGTTGTATTACGAGATAGTACTGCTGAGCGGTGGACAATAAAGCTTCAGAGTAGTCATAAGGATGAAGGGGATAGTAGATGAAGGTGTGAGGGTAGAGCAGATGATGAGAAGAAAAATGTTTTTTTGGAGGTTGATTTATGACTTGCGTGAATTATTTGAACTGGACTGAGGTCCATTGAGGAAGGTGTAGTTGCAGTGTTCTGAGTCGTGGTCAAAGAAGAGCCTAGGATTGGGAAATCGGAAGAATTTAAAGCTATGGGGTTGATAAACGGGCAAGCCTCATTGCCCCTAATAAGAATGCAAAATCTTCATTACTGGCCATAGTAAGACAGAAGTATGTTGGCGAGAGAAATAGTCCACCCCTAAGGGTCTCCTTGAGAGGTAAGAGCAAGACAACTAGACAGGGAAATAACGTGACCATGACTCCCTCAGGCAGTTCAAGACTGGCACCATGACTCACACCCTAGGAAGTGGGTAGTAAATGTTAGAAGAGAGAATGAAATAGAGAGGGGAAGAAAATACCGTGCAAACTTAGTTAAACCAAGGGCTGAGGCCCAAGGTAGGTTCCAGTCTTCGGCATGGCAACAATTGGCATGGGATTAGTGGTGGGGGGTGGGGGGCTGATTAAGCAGCTCTGATCATTAGGGGACATTCTTTCCCCCTTTTTGTGATCTTGACCTTATTAAAAACCCTTGATGATACTTTCATTGCAAGCTTGACCTGCTAGTGTTTATTAAATCTTTACCTTTGCAACTTGTTATAAGACATATAAGCTA